CCCCCCCCCCCCCCCCCCCCCCCCGCCCACCATCTCAGTACTTGAAGCTCTTTAAATACCCCTTCCCCAGTTGCCCCAGGATCTAAGGAGTAATGAGTCTGGACCGTTGCTTTGAACAGCAGTGTGGCAGGGTATGAGTCGGATGGGCTTGGAGGATAGGAGCATTCAGGTTTGCTGTGCTTACTGAGCTGGGGTGAGGCCGATCTTGTGCGGGGGCGGCGGGGGGGGGGGCCAAGAGGAGAAAGGATTGGTGGTTTGGTGGCTGGAGTGGGGAACATGGCGGTGGTGGCCTGTTCTCCTAGGACTGCTACTCCTTCACTGAGCTCTAAGGTCCTGGCTTGGAGGGGGTGGCCTTGGTTAGCTGTCTTGAGAGCCCCATAGTGAAAAACAGATATGGAGAGCACTCTGGGGACACCATTTATTAGCACGCTGGCCCTCTGGGCATCAGTCTTCATCAGTGAGATGGAATAACGGGAATAGCACCCTCGGAGACCAAACCTGAATTTGGAGTCAATATCAGCTAGATGACCGGAACTCACAGAACTTCAGCTGCTAAGGGCACTCAGTGATAATGCTTCCTGCTATGGCCTCTTCCTTCTGACAGTCTCTCCCTCTCCGCCTGCCCTGTAACTCCCCACTGCTTCCTAAGGTCTCTTTCAGGAAGGCCACTTCCATATCAGATTCCCTTAACTCTTGGACTGGCTCCACACCTTCTGAGCCTAGGGTTTACTCAAAGAGCCCGCCTTATGCAGATGTGGGTACCCACAGGGTGACTTAAGCCAGAGACCTGCGTACAGCCTCACCCCTCCCTCCTCCACGCTCACCTACCTTGGTAGCGCCCAGATTGGCGTCCCTTGGCCCCTTTGTCTCTGTCCTTCCTGTTTTCTGTAGCCTCCATGTGACCTTAGCCAGCTCAATCCCCATTCCACCCCTAGAGCCATCTCCTAAAAGACCAACTTCCCTCAACAGTGTTTGTCAAACCAGCAGCTAAATCCTCAAAGGGAGAAAAACACATTTAGTAGGCAAATACATGGAAAAACATTCACCTTTACTAGTAGGCAAAGACATACAAATTAGAACCCAGGACAGGTTTTAGGTTTTGTTTATAAAATGATCACAAAAACAAAACAAAACAAAAAGCAGGCAAGCTCAAGGAAAGCTATGATGCCAGGATGCCAGCATACAGAGTGGGAAAGGGGGCTCCTGGCCTGCTGGTGGAGTCTTGGCCTTTTGGGCAGCTACTTAGCTTTCCGTCCTTGCCCCTGTGGGTTGCCAGCCCCAGGTCAAGCTGTTGGTCAGTGTCTACTTGGCTATTATCTTGGCATCATTGGTCACAGTGTGGCCAAGCTTCCTGCTAGGTCCAGGATGTCTAGGTGGGTGAGCGGGTAGGAAAGGCCCTGTCTTCAGGATGGAGAGTGGGAATGATGCGGTCACACTGAGGAATGTGGCGTGAGGACAGAGCCCTGCGCAGTGAATCCTGGGAAGGACTGCGCAGAAGGACAGCAGCCTGGAAGGGGAAGCAGGAAGCCAGGAGGCTTTCCGGGACTTCCTGGAGGACTGGACCTGGATTTGTAAACCTGGCTTCAGAAAACTACAAGCTATTTTGACAGGGATGCGGGGAAAGGCAGCCTCCTGGAAAACACGGGTGCACCCAGGGGACTCCCATTAAAGAAAGGTTTTGCATGGGGGTGAGTGGGTGGTATTGGCGCAACTTCATACTTAGACTGAACTTTGGTTCTTGACATGGTATCTGGGTGGCGGGCATGACTATAGACAGGAAACCCAGTTAGGGCCTAGGAGTTATTGGGGTGTGAGGCCGAGCATTGCTGCTGAGTGGGGAAAAGTAGTGAGGGGCTGGAAAGGGATGGGCAGGGTGTGGCCACCAATGGCAGAGACATCTGGATCTGGATCCAAGGGTCAAACTGTGTCTGGTTGGGGGGTAAGGCCTAGAACTCACCAGAGGGTTCTGGGGTTCACCAGAAGAGCAGGCATGTCATAGGAGAGAGCACGGAGGTGGTGGAGGCCAGGTGCTGGGTATGTCTGTGTCCGGTGAGGGGTGGAAGCCAATGTTAAGGGGGAGCTTGTATAAATAAAAGGGTGTGGAGGAGTATGGGCAATTTTCCTAAAGCTGGGCTATAAAGAATAGACAGAGGGATGCTGAAGATACAAAGATTTGCAGTTGACAGACAGCTGCCACCACACCTGGCTAACACCTGGCTTTTTTTTTTTTTTAAAGTGGGTTCTGAGATCAAATTCAGGTCTTCATAAACTGCATTGATTTTTAAATGAAGGAATAGAGAACAGCTCCCGCTAACTGCAAGATAAAGTCCACATCATCTCGCAGGGCTGAAGGAGCCTTCGAATCATGGCCTGTGCACTGTGGTGCACATCGGTGTCACCCCTTCCTGTCACGGGATCTCCAGTCTACACAGCAGACAGTCCAAGACTGTTCGAGCAGGACTTGAAAAAGCACATGCCGGCTGGTGGAATGGTGGTGGTGCTTGCTGCCATGTCGAAGGGGATGAGAGGGGACTGACTCCTCCTACAGGTTGTCCTGACCCCCACATATGCACTGTAGCACGCTCATGCACACACGCACGTGCACACACATAATAAAAAAGAAAAAGGAAGTATGTAGGGAGGAGGGGACTAAGAAAGAGGAAAGAAGACAAAAATGAGTGAATTTTGATGACAGGCCTGTCTAAGAACGCCATAGTGGAACCTGATGTTTTGTATGCTTGCTAAAAACAAAACAAAACAAAAAAAACCAAACCAAACCAAACCAAAACAAAAAAAAAACCCTAAAAAACTAGCTGATAGGAAGCAGTAGGAAAAAGATATGGACGTACGCAAGCCCAGCAGAGTCTGAGTGATGGCACTGTGTGTGTCTAACAGCAGAGGTCAGTGTGGCCAGTGAGAAGTGTAAATGGGTACATGCACATTGGAACAGAGACCAGTCCAGACCTCCATGGAGAGGTAGGTCTCACGTCTGTGGGCGGAGCCTGTCCCCTAGTATGTCGTGTGCCTACAGGCATGCCGCCCCCCCAAGAGCTGTATTCGTGTTTACTGGAGAATGCTAGGAGAGCAAAACCCCCTAGGACAAATGTGATGCATGCAGGAGACTTTACATTTCCTAGTGGCCACATTAAAAAGGTGAAGATGAAATTAACTTTTACCAATTACTTTGATTTATACCAACCTACCCAATATGTTCTTTTAATGTGTAACCAGTATGAAAACTGACATATTCCCTTGCCTGTTTTGCCAAAGTCTAAGCACTAAATCTAATTTCTATTCACCTTAATACAGCACGCTGCGGGAGCTCAGCTGCTGGCTGCTATATACAGATTATACAGGTGGATTTAGGGGGACGCTCTAGATTGGTAATGGTGGTTGAGAAGTTCCAGGAAGAGATGTGGGGCCTTTTAAGATTGTTTTCGACTCAGTGCCCTTCAATTGGGTCCATCCCTGCACAATAAGGCCCCACCACTGTTGATCAGTGTATGATTTCCGAGATGTACCACACTGTATTGCCAGCCCTCTGGCTGGGCAATGGCCACAGCTATCTTGTATCCCCCTAGACTGCTGTCTGCCCAGGTGTCCCCCCCACACACACACTTCAAGCAAGCTCACAGCATCTCAATCTGCAGTTTGCGTGTTCGGGCCCGCCCCATCCCTTCTTTCCTGCTTGCTCTGGCCCCAGAACGGGTCTCCCTTTACAATGGCTGTCTGCCTCCTGTTTCCAAGCAGAAGCTCCCCTCCCACAGGCCTGCTCCATCCTCTCCATCTTCACTGCTTTACATCTGGATTTGTGGGGCAACTTCCCAGGCAGGCTGCCGGGTGCCAACCTTCAGCCCCCACCATGAAGCTTCCTGGGTTTCCCACGACTCACTGGGATTGTCACCCCAGGGACAATCTTTGCCATAACACCTTTCCCACCTGTCACTCACTCGTCTTCCAGTTCCTTGACATCTGGTCCCCCTTCCTACACCTCTACCTTCACCAAACTTCCCCTTTAGCCCTTGCCTAACCCTGTCTGCCCTGGGAACTCTTTACTGCCCCAGTAGGCTTTAGAGTCTTGGCACCAAGTTCCAGAACCTGCCGCATAATTGGCGACATTAGCAAACATTTGTTAGACGTGGATGAAGTAATGAACTGTGGCTTTCTTTCCCCAACTCGTTACTCCTTTGCCTAAAACTCCATTTGCTCCAGAAGTTAAGTCTCTGCTTATTCCTCATCCTGGGCACTGACGGGCTGGACACTCTGCAGAGAACACTCCCAGGTCTCGGCGAAGTCTGACCACAGTGCCTGGAGAGGAATCTGGATTGCCCCCATTCCATCAGTGAGGAGACAACTGGGTCTCGGGTGAAAACTATTCGCTCAGGAAGTGGCTGTAGGTGCTGGGGCTGAGCCTTGACGGACTCAGTGTGACCCCAGCTCCTCTCACAAAGGTCCTTGGATCCTGAGTGCCATGTCTCCAGCTAGCGTGGTTCCTGAGAAGCCTGCCCCTTCCCACTTTGTCTGCAGCCCACTCGGAATGCTGGCAGCCTTGCGGCAGAAGCAAGGAAAGGCTGGCACGGACTTCACTGTCCCCAGCGAATGCCAGTCACCTCGTCCTCTTACACACCAGAGTGGGGGAGCCAATGATGGCTCCAGGGCACCAGGCCTTTGTGTGGGCATCCAGGCAGAGAAGGAGTGGAGTGGAGGCCAGACTGACCCACAGAAGACCTAAGACCTAAGGTGTATGGGCTTCTCTTTTCTCCCTTGGGTCTTGTTTCTGGGAGGGGCTAGAGTCAGGGCTGTACGAGATTTGCAGCATCTGTGACACAGGATATTGCATTCCCACCCAGGGAAGCTGTGTGCAGCACTGAACACCAGTTTACGTCAAAAAGCACTGGGCACTGTGACTTTGGGCAACTTCACTCCGTGTGGAGCCCTTTGCTTCTCCAGTAACAAGGGTGCTCATGCCTGTCCCCAGGTTAAGAGCCACATCAAATCATGGCTGTGTAGCTTACACGGGCAGTATTAATTTTACAAGTCAGGGTTTCTCAGAGTAGTCCTGGTTGTCTGGGAACTTGCTCTGTAGACCAGGCTGGCCTTTCACTCAGAGATCCACCTGCTTCTGCCACTGAGTGCTGGGATTAAAGACAAGCACCATCATGTCTGGCAGAAAAAGTTTTTTAACTATATGGGTCATGACCAAACAGTTGTGGAAGTCTATGTAGTGTCAATACCAGGAACAAATAAAAATTTAACAATGTAGCCTTCAAATTTACAGTAGCGTCCAGGAGTGCTATTCACCCCTCTAGGACCCAGGAGGCTGTGACTGTATGAAACCTTGTCTCAAAATATAAAAGTCAACCATGAGATATACCAGGTCCTTTCACCTGAAGTGATGGACAACTCAGCCAACTTAAACTCACCAATTTCTCTGAGTAGCCTTGGCTTCCTAGCCATCACACACTTAAAAACAAACATGAGTGGGATCTGACGTTTTTATTTTTCCCCAACAAGGAAAACAGAGGTCCAAGTAGCAAGACTGGCCACCCAGGCTTTTGTACACTGCCTGCAGTACAAGGCTCTCTTGACTAGGGGGCTTCCCTGTGCTCACTCCACTCACGCTACTTCTCCCACAAGCTTCCTAGCTTTCCCAATTCTGGGACACCAGGCTTTCCAGGTCTTGGTCTCCCTGGAGGATTAACCAGTGTCTCTTCTAGGGGGTCATCACATTTTAACAGGTACCTCCAGAGGCACAGAGCCAACCCCATCTACCACCTGGCTGCCTTCCCTCAGTCTGGCCAGTTTCCATCACTTCTGTCTTTGCACACATTACCACTGTCATTTTATTATCAGACATCACCCACTCTCTTTCCTCTTTAAAGGCTTGCACGGCCCTTCCCCACCTGTTCCTCTACTGTATGACTAGCACGCGATGCCTGGCCAGGGCTGAGTGAGCTACAGCTGTGTCTTCTGTGTAGCTCCAGCAGATCTGCTGGAGGTAGCAGAGTCTGGGTTCTGGCTCAAGCGTTACTGATGATGTTAGCCTTCCACTTGGCCTTGGTGGGTGGGAAAAGCAGGTAGGAAGGCTCAAAGGTGAAGGGGCCCAGCATTTTCACTTTGAGGGGTGTTGATTTGGGGTGAAGGCAATGAAATGATCCAGTCCTAGTCAGGTGGCATGGATACACTGCTCGGTTAAGGCAGCCATCCTTCCCCAACCCAGTCCCATTCTTTTTCTCACCCACGAACAAAAACTCAGGCACACAGGCATCCCTGGGAGAAAGCCACAGAAGAGGCACATTTTACAGATTTATTTTTTAAAAACAAAACAAAAGGTTAAAAAAGTCCTTCATTTCCAACCCTGCCTGGGGGTATGGGGAAGGGGGCAGGGCAAGCTGAGAAAGTGCCCGCCCCTCCCGGGAAGGGTCTGACTTCCCAGAGTTGGTAAGGACAGGATAAGTCAGAGGCGCCTGGTCCTTCCTTAGGTAGCTGTTACTGCTATACAAGTTTTACAAGCAAGTGTGGGAGTGGAAGGCCAAAGGCTGCTTCCACAGTGCCTCCAGCCAGTCTTTAGTTACACCCCTCCTCCCATGTAGGGGTGTAAGGGTGGGCAGGCAGGTGAAGTCACAGGAGGCTTGGCCTTTGGGCCATATAGTCTAGATCCTGTAGCTTCCTTATGTTGCTTGCCAGCCAGCAGGACACACTACCAATCTGGTATGAGGAGAGCTTCCCAGAAACCTCTTGCCACCTGGAGGGGACCTCTAATCTCCAACTCTTGGGGTTTGCCCTTTCTTTCTATTCCCCAGCCTCAGGCTGAGTGGAGTCCAGGACAAAGCACTAAGTGGCTGTTTGCTACAAAACACCTGGAGATGCCAGAGGGCAGCTCATGGCCTGTCAGTCCAGGCTCCCAGTCACACAGTCATACACACAGCGTTAAGGCGTCTGTGCCAGCAGGCATGGCCAAACTGGGCCCAGCTTCTCTCTCTCCACCTGCAGAGGGTACAGGGGCAGAACCCCTGGATGCTGTGGAAACAGGCTGAAGGGGGAGAAGCTGACAACGGAAGGTTAACCAGGCCTGGATAAGAAGGGGAAGGGGAGAGAAGGCAAAGGCTTTAACCTCTGTCCAGGCCTGCTGGCTGCCCTTGGAAGTCACCCAACTCAGGTTGGGGAGCCCTGACCATAAACCCCCTGGAAAATGGGGGACAGAGGAAGGATTAGAGGGGGGCTAGAACATTGGGACTTTGGAGGAAGCCAGTGCTATCAGTATTTACAAGCGCAAAGCCCCATCTTCTGTGCCACCTACCTCTCTACCCTTCCCACAGAAATGGCCCCTGAGAGCCACTGAAGAGGCACTCAGACCTCCTCACAGCTGCACCCCTAGTGAGAGCCCCTTCCCTCCAACTGGCCATATCTCGGGCTCCTCAGGAATGTTTGTGTGGCTCTGCTCATGAGGAGGTGGTGCCCACCTGGGGCAGGAACCCTGGCTGCCCTGGGGCAGCGGGCAGGCGGCAGAGGCTCTAGGAGTCCTTGAGCATGCTGATGCGTGCATAGATCTTCAGGGCAGGCCCCAGCTTGATGTTCATGGCACTCATCAGGTGGTCCTCCTTGAGCAGCAGCAGGGCTTGCCCATCAATCTCCTGGGCACGGAACTCCTCGGCGATCTCCTGGCAACCTGAGGAAGACAGCAGATAACAGCAACAGTTAGAGACAAGCCCTGGCTCAGGAAAGCCTCACATGGTAGTACTTCAAGGGCAGTACTGCTGGTCTTGTCTTGAAGCCTCACAGGCTAAATGACTGAGGCAGGAAGTCAAGATGTGGCCCTTGCTAGGCACACCCTTGGGCACACCTCTCCCTCCCTAACTACTGTCCTAGGTGTTGAGCTGGTACAGAAGGGAAGCTAGGGGCCACCGAGGCCTCACGGAAAGGACAGCAGCTGTTTGTTCCCTTACCCCTGCAGGGAACTTATATCGGAGCAAACTGACCATGTCAGAACGCTCCATCAGCCCCCTCTGAAGAGATGCTGGCTAACAGTAGAGGCCCGTTGTCATGTGACTGAGCTCCTTGGATGAGGATGCCCTCCACTGAAACTACAGCTGAGCCATGGCAGATGCCTCACCCTCACAATTCTGACACCATGAAGGGGTCATTACTGTTTAAGACTAAGCTAGAGTGATTTGTCTCACAGCAATACACCGATAACACAGACTTCGAAGCCTTAGAGAGAGGTGAGATGTTAAAAAACTTTGAACATGTAGGGATGGCCTAGTATTGGGGCCAGCAACAGATAGGCCAAGCAGAGTACAGTGACTGCCTAATGTGATCTAGGATCCTGAGTAGAAGTCCCATAACCCAGGGGAAACTGCTGGAAGCTTAATGGAGAGAGAGGAACTGCTACAGGGGGCTGGAGGGGTTGGGATTTAACTGTATCCTGCTAGGAAGCCACAAGTTTTGCAGCACTGGACTGGGACATGAAGTGTAACATTCCGGTGTTTTCAGGTAGAAGGCTGAGGGCGCTGCCTGCCTTCTTGTTGGAAGGAAGAGGAAGGAAAAGGAAAGAAAAATCAGTTCTGTGTACCATGGTCAGTATCTGCTGGTTCAGGAAGCCCTTAGTATTTCAGGATTAGAAAACAGTTTCCAGTGTGGTGGCACACACTTTTAACCCCAGCACTAGGGAGGCAGAGGCAGGCAGATCTCTGAGTTCAAGACCAGTCTGGTCTACAGAGCAAATTCTTGGGACAGTTAGGGTTACACAGAGAAACCCTCAAAAAAACAAACAAGCTAACAAACAAATAAAATAAAAATAAAAGACCCCCTAAAATGAAAAGAAAACCCAGGCTCCTGAAGACTTGACATGATACTCTGAGGAGAAGGGCCAGCTTCAGCGATTCTGATCAGTTGAAGGACTCCCAAGAACCTTAAGGGCTCCAGAAGAAGCCCAACATTACAGAAAGGCTTATCTGAAAGAGGATTTGGGGTGTGTTTTTTGTATGATGGAATGAACCCCAACAAGACTCAGAAACTATAAGGATTTTAAGAAAACTATATTGTCAGAAATATTGCTAGCTGAGACGGAAAAGCTCAGAGGTAACAGAAAATAAAAAGCAGGAATTACAGTAAGCACTGCAATTGAAGTTGCTCTTAACACCCGCTGCCTGTCACAGCAGGTGGGTGACTCTGAGGGGGGGTAAAAGTCACTCGAGGCTTGGAATACTCCAAAGGAAATGGCAGCAAGGGCTGCCCAGGCTGCTGTGGGTCAGAGCTGCCTGCCTGTTTCCGTTTTTCCCTCAGTTACCTACAAGATACTGGGGTGTGGTGGGCAGGAGACAACCTGTCTTAGTTCTTGGATCTCTAGAGTAGGGAACCACACCTACGCATCAGGGACAGAGCTCTCCATGCCCAGGCTTGACTAAAGAAAATGCCTCCAGATCAGGCGTGTGGAATATTCCTTTACATTATGTGAATACATGTCGCTGTGATTGGTATAATAAAGAAGCTGACTGGCTATAGTGATATTTTACTTGTGTCTTGATAAAGCTTGCCTGAAGATCAGAGTGTAAAGCTAAGCCTCTAGAGATCAGGGAGTGTTAGCACACACCTTTAATCCCAGGACTCAAGGCCACTCTGGGCTGTGTGAGGTAGAATCTGTCTAAGAGAAACAGAGCTCACACCTGTAACCCCACGCTAGGGCTAGGAGGAGCTCAGTGAGTCTGAGGATGCAGCCCGAGGAACAGTACAAACTGAGGACAGGACTGCCCCTTTGGTCTGAGCATTGGTAGAGGTGAGAACTCTCTAGGGGCTGGCCACTTTGAGTCTCTGATCTTCAGCTTTAACCCCAATATCTGCCTCTGGGATTACATCTTTTATTACTCATGTTACAACTTGCCAATAGATGGACAGATGAGGTTAGGCAAGAGAACCAGACTAAGGACACTGGGAAGAAGGACGGCGGGCACCATTTGTAAGTGGAGTTTTTCATCAGGACCGTAATTAGCTGTTATGTCAACTCTTTCCAAAAAAAAATCACTCAGAAACTAAATATTACTTATAAATGAGGCTGACAGCTGGACAGGATGAGGTCTGGTGGGAGAACCAGACTGAGGACACTGGGAAGAAGGGTGAAGATAGAGAAGTTGCCAGCCAGACATGGAAAGGAAACAGGGGGTACAAGATGAAAGAGAGGTTAACACCACATGGCAAAATGTAGATTAATATAAATGGGTTAAATTTAAGTTGTAAGAGTTAGCTAGTAACAAGCCTGAGCTATTGGCCAAGCATTTGTAATTAATAAGAATTTTCCATGTGGTTATTTGGGAGCAACTGTAGAGACACAGAGAAATTCTGCCTATACAAGTATGTAGGGCATTTTCTTTTCTTTTTTTCTTTTTTTTTCCTTTTTTTTTTTTTTTTTTTTTTTTTTTTTTTTTTTTTTTTTTTTTTTTTTTTTTTTTTTTTTTTTTTTTTTTTTTTTTTTTTTTTTTTTTTTTTTTTTTTTTTTTTTTTTTTGTGAGACAGGGTTTCTCTGTGGCTTTGAAGCCTGTCCTGGAACTAGCTCTGTAGACCAGGCTGGTCTCGAACTCACAGAGATCCGCCTGCCTCTGCCTCCCGAGTGCTGGGATTAAAGGCGTGCGCCACCATCGGGCATTTTCTTAGAGACTGGTGGGGTGGGCCCAGCCCCCAGTCCCCAGCTGCCAGCCGCCAGATCCCAGCACATTGTGGGTGAGGCCATCTCTGGGCTGGTGGTCTTGGGTTTTATAAGAAAGTGGGCTGAGTAAGAAACGGGGAGTAAGCTAGTAAGCAGCACTACTCCACGGCCTCAACACCAGCTGTGGACTCCAGGTTCCTGCCCTGTTTGAGTTCCTATTTTGATGTCCTTAAATGATAAACAGTGATATGAAAATATAAGCCAAATAAATCCTTTCCTTCACAATTTGCTTTTGGTCATGGTATTTCATCACAGCAGTAGAAACCCTGACTAAGCCAGCCTGTGGGTTCCCCCAAAGACAGAGCTCATCTGTACGACCAGTGAGATCCTGTAGAAATGGCAGCGTATGATTTCTTCTGATAGCTCTCTAGGATTTCCTAGCTATGGGGAAAACCTGCTTCCATGCTTGCCATAAGAGGCCCAGCCAGC